GCCGTGGCCGCCGTGGGCCGGTACCCCAAGCCGCTGGCCGAGCTGCCCGGCCGGACGCCCATCTTCTGGCCCGGGGTGATGCAGAGCCCGCCCTGGAGGGACGCGCGCCTCGCCTGCACCCCTCGTAAGTACGCCCCTGCCCGGGTGCTCACTGCTGCCTGTTCTCACTCTCGGGGCCGGGCCCCTGGTGTACATGCCTGTCGGTGGCCCTCTAGCCAGCCCTCGCAGTTGGGCAGCGCCGGAACGGCCAGATTTAGGCTGGGCCAGGACGTCCAGCGAGGAATTCTCGCTTTCCCTAAGCTCCCGTAGCTGCGTCCGACTGCTCGCCTGTCCCCGCGTCTTGTGCACGCTCGGCTGAGCCAGTGTGCGTGTGTCCGTGTGGAGCACAACGCCCGGGCGGGACGTGTGTCTTCTCTGGAACGGGCCTGGGCCGCAGGACCTGCCTGGGCTGCAGAGATGGAGAGAGAAGAGAGGCCACTGCGCGCCTGCCCGAGCCCATGCTATTCCGAATTGTGTCTGCGGGCCAGGGTGCCAATGCACCCTCGCCGGCCTGAACAGCTGCCTCTCTGCCAACTCGCGAGGCTGGCAGCCGGGAGCCCACCACCGTCAGGAGCGGAGCATGTGTATTTGCATGCAGGTCTCCGCCCCGGCCCCCACCTCCCCTCTTCGCCCTTGCCCCGAAGTACTCTCGATCTGGTGGAGGCAGGCGGCCGGCGAAGGGCGAAGGAGAGTGAGCGCGGAGGTGCTTTGGGCCGCTGCCCACTGCTGGGCCTGCGCTTTCCCACTCGCCTCGACCCCTGGGGGCCAGGACATGTTGGGGGAACATCGTGGAACGCAACATCCTATCTCAACTCAAGAAAGTGCAGGGAAAAGAGCGAGGCGAAGGGACAAGGACCGGGTAAATGTAACATCCCGCCCAGACCCTGCTTGAGGCAAACTCAGTTGTCTCCAAGATGCTCCCTAGCCATTGCGTAGCAGATATGCATCGCCTAGTGCCCAGGAGGTGCCCAGCCATCCAGGTGGGGTGCAGGTCCAGCTCGGGGCTCTGCTTTTTGCTAATGAGCGAGTCCCCTAAGTTTCTCTAAGTTGCTGGACCTCCCTCGTGCGGCAGAACGGCAAGAACTGCAGGAAGTTGCGGGAGCTGGGTGGAGACTCCCTTGGACAGCGCAGGGACCACCGGCTGCAGGGGCTGCTGGGGGTGTCAGCGAGGCGCTATTGTATCAGTTTGGATAGCCGTGTAGGGCAGCCAACAAAGGCGGCGCCCCCTCCCCCTCCCCTTCGGCCTCAGCGCCGTTAGACTTGGGGACGATTTGGCGCTCTGGTGTGTAAAAACAAGGAGCCCTTTGTTGCGCGTACCAGGTTAGGGAAGCATTCAAGGAAAAAGCCCCCCAAAACAAAACAACTAGTTGTCCTGGTGGAAAAACTCCAGGGCCTAGCAAGCAGCACCAGACTAGGAGGCGAGTGTTCCCTTTCCGGCACTCCTTAAAAGCCGCAATTTTCAGCTTTGGTCAACTTGATCAACAGGCTCCCTAGCCATTGGACACCCAGGTTAGCAAGAGGTATTAACTGCCACCCCGCTTTGGGAAAAAAAAAAACAGGTGGGCGCAACACCGCCCGCCCGGCAGACTGCGGCTGGGCCTGCAAACGCCCCAGAGACTAATCCTTCTTTTCTCACCAAAACATTTATTTTCTCTCCGCGCCCCTCCTCCCCCAGTGGAGCCGCTGGTAACAAATTGTTTTCCCCCCTTTCCTCGTTCTTTATCGGTTCTCACAGATCAAGGATCCATTTTGTTAGACAAAGACGGGAAGAGGAAACACACGAGACCCACGTTTTCTGGCCAGCAGATTTTCGCCCTGGAAAAGACTTTCGAACAAACGAAGTATTTGGCAGGGCCCGAGAGGGCTCGCTTGGCCTATTCGTTGGGGATGACAGAAAGTCAGGTCAAGGTGAGTGGACCTTGCAGACCTCGTGGGGATATGCTCAGGGGCTGTGAATGGGGGCACTCATACATGGGACACACCACACACACACACACACACACACACACACACACACGGAGTCATGGGGGAGATTCCAAGGAGCCAGGGGAGAAGTTGAGAGTAACAGAGGGGGTTGGCCCTTACAAAAGCACTGGAGTCTTGCTGGTGGGCAAACTGTTGATGAACAAAAGGTATCAAGCCCCCGCCTTTGAAATTAGGTTAATCTAGATAGCAGCATGTGCTAGGGGAACACTTCCCATTCTTAGAGATTAAAAGCATTACTGAAATACTAGCCCAGAGAATAGATCCGGGCCAGTTAGATAGCTTCTGTTTACTCTGGTTGTAAAGATCTTCAAGCCTTTGTCAATTTAGGCTCCACTAGTTATATAATTTCATAATGTTTACAGATCAGCATTATAGTGCTACTGTATTAACTTACACGTTTTAAAAGAATAAATCTACCAGATCTAACCACTTACTATGGATGAACCTGCTGTTAGCTTAGTTGAAAGCAATCACTTTGGGATAGTAATTTTTCAAATGAGTTGACAAGACTATTACTGTATTTATAGGATTGAATTCTGTTCAAAACTGATCTACAGTTCTAAGAGACTGTACTGTTTGTGATAAAATTTATAATTAAAATGTCTCTTTGCTTATAGTTGACCTGTATAGTACAATATATTTCCAGAGAACCAAATACTAGAAATCTTT